GGGCTCGATCCCAGGACCCTGGGACCATGACCTGAGCTGAAGGCAGATGCTTAACGACCCAGCCACCCAGGTGCCCCTAATTCTGTGTATTTTTAAATATCCTTTGAGTCTTCCTTTTTGACCCATAGATTAACAAATATGTAGCTTGCTTTCCAATTGTTTCAAAGATTTTTCTGCTGCCTTTCTATTGCTAATTTCTAGTTTACTATTTTCAGAGAACATACTCTGATTTCAATTATTTTGAGTTTGGTTAGGGGCTCCTGGCTGGGTCAGTCGGTGGAGCATGTGACTCTCGATCTTAGGGTTGTGAGTTCGAGCCCCACGTTGAGGGTAGAGTTTCCTTCAAAACAAAGTAAATTTGGTTAGCTTTTAGATACGACAGCAAGCATAAGCCACAGAGAAGGATGAATTGAACATCTTTTCCTTGGCCATTCTTTAATATAGGTCAGCTGGCAACAAAGTCTCATATTTTTCCTTCATCAGAAAATTTCCTTAGTTCCCCTTCCCTCCTGAGGATCATTTGCCAGAGACAGGATTTGTAGTCGACTTGAAAAACCTGCCACTTCCTTCTGGCCTCCATGCTGTCAGATACAAAACCTACTGTCACTTAAATCAGTGTTCCTTAATATGCAATGGGTTGTTTCTCTGGCTGTTCTTAAAGACTTTTTTTTCCCTCTTGTCTTTAGTTTCCAGAAGTTTGCGATGTGTCTTAGTGTGACTGCTTATTGTGCTCGGGGTTCACTCAGCTTCTTGGACCATTATTTCTTCAGGTACTTTTTTCAGTCCATACTTTTTTCCTATTTCTGGTATCCAGTGGCGTCAATGTTAGATTCTTCATTTTTTAAAAGATTTATTTATTTGAGAGAGAGAGAGAACTCACGAGCAGTGGGAGGGACAGAGGGAGAGAGAGGGAGAGAATCCTCAAGCAGACTCCCCAGTGGGCACCAAGAGACCACAAGTCAAGGAGTATTGGCAGACTCCAGAAACTGGAGAAGGCAAGAAAATTGATCCACCCCCAGAACCTCCAGAAAGGAATGTGGTCCCACCACATATCTTTATTTTAGCCCAGTAAAACTCATGTTGGACTTCTGACCTCCAGAAACGTAAGGTAATAAATGCCTTGCTTTTAAGCCACCATCTTTGTGGTAATTTGTTACAGCAGTAATAGGAATCTACTACAGACTGCATATTAGATTATATTGTTGTATTAATATCAAATTGGGGGAGCTTGATCATCGTACTGTGGATATATAGGAGAAAATCCTGGTTCTGATGAAATACGGGCTGAAGTAGTTAGGGTGAAGTAGTATGATACCTATAACTTTCAATTGATTAATCAAAAAATCATATATAGGGCACCTGGGTGGCTCAGTTGGTTAAGCATCTGCCTTCAGCCCAGGTCATGATCCCAGGGTCCTGGGATCAAGTCCCACATCAGGCTCCTTGCTCAGCAGGCAGTCAGCTTCTCCCTCTGCCTCTGCCCCTTCCCCCCAGATCATGAGCTCTCTCTCTCTCTCAAATAAATAAAATCTTTTTTAAAAAATCATATATATATGTATATATATGTATGTACATATAATGAAAAAGATTTGTGTGTATGCACATGCATATATTTATCTCTATACAGATAGAATACAAATGTGGCATTGGTAAATAAGCATGACAGGTATATGGGAGTTCCCTCTCATAGTCTTGCAAGTTTTCTCTAAGTTTGATTTTTTTTAACTGGCCTTATGTTTTAGAAGTACAAGCACAGGTGTTTGCAAAGAATATTATATGATTTCTAATAATTAATCCAGTAATCCAGTGGGTAGAAGAGTAGAAGGGAGATAGATACAACAAGGTTCACCATGAGTTGATACTTTGAGCTGGAGATGGGTACTTGAGGGTTCACAATACCATTCTCCCTAGTATAACGAACTAGAATCCGCTTGTCCATGTTTGTATACAAACTCTCTTTGTATATCTTTGAAATTTTCCATATGAAAAGATTTTAAGGAAAGAGAAAAAAGTTTCCAATTCAGAAGTTTTATGAGTTCCACAGAACTTTCAACTCAGATCATCTCAAAATCATAGAAATTCATCCATAGAACAGAGAGGGAATATCCCCCTAACTTATTCCGAGGCTAGTATAACCTTTAAATTGAAATAGGAACAACAACAAAAGTACAAAAAGCGGAAAATACCAGGCCGATCATACTCATCAACAGAGAAGCAAAAATGCTAAACAAGATATTCTCAAACTAAATCCAACAGTATATAGAATAAGACAATACACCATGACCAAGTTAGGTTTGTCCCAGGAAAGCAAAGGTCATTGAACATTAGCAATTTATACCTGGGTGGCTCAGTTGGTTAAGTGGTGGGCTCTTGATTTCAGTTGGGGTCATGAGCTCAGGCTCCTGGGATTGAGCCCTGCATTGGGCTCCCCTCTCGGCAGGGACTCTGCTTGTCTCTCTCCCTTTGCCCCACCCCCATCCTGCTCTCGCTCTCTCTAACAAATAAAATCTTTAAAAAAATTTTTTTAAATATGGGATGCCTGGGTGGCTCAGACGGTTGAGCGTCTGCCTTCAGCTCGGGTCATGACCCCAGGGTCTGGGATCGGGTCCTCCACTGGGCTCCTTGCTCAGCCAGTGGGGAGCTTGCTTCTTCCTCTGCCTGTGCTTTCCCTGCTTGTGTGCTCTCTCTCTCTGACAAATAAATAGAATCTTTAAAAAAAAAATTAAAAAATTAACTACCCTGATGATACCCAGCTCTAATTCATAAGGCCTTTCATTTTATTTTTTGTTTTAAAGATTTTATTTATTTATTTGACAGAGAGAGAGTGAGCACAAGTAGGGGGAGCAGCAGAGGGAGAGGGAGAAACAGGCTCTCAGCTAAGCAGGGAGCCTGATGCGGAGCTCGATCCCAGGACCCTGGGATCATGACTTGAGCCGAAGGCAGACGAGTAACGACTGAGCCGCCCAGGTGCCCCAGGCCTTTCATTTTAATGGGGAGGAAATTGAGGCCCAGAAAAGGGAAGAGATTTGGCCAGGATCTCTTGAGTCAGTGGCTGATTGGGCTAGAGCTCAGGTCGTCACAAAAAGGGGGAGGAGAAAAGAAATATTTGAGGGGGGGTGCCTGGCTGACTCAGTTGGAAGAGCATGCGACTCTTGTTCTCAGGGTCATGAGTTCGCGCCCCACATTGGGTGTAGAGATTACTAAAAAAAAATAAATAAACTTTAAAATAATTTTTGGGGTCCTCCCAGTTGCTGGGCATGACTGTCACTTTGCCAGTGACCCTCCTCCCCACCACCCCCCGCTCACTTCACCATGCACATACCCACCGCCTGCCTCTCCCCTCCATTTTCCTGGGTATGTTTGGCTCCCCTCACACCTTCCACGCCTCTACAGTTCTCATGGACCACAGGACAAAGCAGAAAGGCAACTCTGTGACTTTATTGGGTTACAGGAAGGGGTTTGTCCAGTCCAGCTAGACTGTCAGTCTCTGAAGGCCAGCAGAAGACCTGAGAGGATGCTCCAAGCAGGACTCCGACTGGAGAGCTCTGCGCCAGCGCTCTGGGCCTTCTCTAAGATGTTGAGGACCTCAGTCACTCTGATGTTCCCAATATGGTGATAATCTGCTAAAAGTTTTTGATATCCACGAGCACAGCCCAAGAGGAGGAAGGTGGTATTGAGAAGGCCTATAAGGCAGACAGAGAGGAGTCAGGGACACTTCCAAGACGCAAGCGCCCTACCCCTGCTTCCAGGCACCCTCACAACCCAGAACACCTGCTCTCCCACCAAAAACTTGAGTACCAGCCCCCTTAGTCCTTCCTCCTTGGAATTCATGTGCCTGGCCCCGGGGCAGCCCCAATCCCCTCTCGGATCCAACCAGCCTCTCACAGAGATGGAAAGGCACTAAAGCAAGTTTCTCTTCTCTCACCTGCCTGAAATTTTAAGGTGGAACTGTAACACTGAGAGGCCTCGTAGGGGCAAGAATCAGTGGTGACAAAATTTGGGAGGCAATCCTTAGAGTGCTCGCCCACACAGGTCGGGCAACTATGGGAAGAAAATGCTGTAGACTTAGGAGCTCTGGCCTTGAGTTTCACAAAAGGATCCAAGTTGGTAAGGTTATTGCAGAGATATGTCCGACAGACGCGGCTATAGGAAGCAATGGACAATCCAGGTGGCGAAACGAGGTAGGAGACTTGCTGGGGGTAAGATGAGGCGGGGCTGCAGCCCTTAAAACCCACAACTCCCCTTCTGGTCCCTGAGGAGAAGATTAGAGAGCTCTGATCAGTGCTGTTGGCCACACACAGAGTCTACCCTCCCACCCTGCACCCTGCTCTTCCAGCTCACTCTGCCCCATCACCAACTTTGCTGTGGGGTCCACTTGCTGCAGCTGCACAGGGCTCAGATCCCCGGGTCTCTGTCTGTCTCCCCTCACCAACCCCTCCCCCCAGGAACCCCCTGCTCCTCTCTCCCCTGTGTCCCTTTCTTTACTTCTCTCCCAGATTGTCCCCCATCCACCTGGGATCACCTCCTTTCTGCCCTCCTATCCAGCCCACACCACACCCAGCCAGGTCCTGCCCTCTCCTGTCAGTGTCTTGACATTATTCCCAAAGATATAATGGAGTAAATGTGTGGAGCTCGAGTCCAGAGTCCCTGGGTGCTGGGAATGGAGTTGGGGGTCAGAAGAGGCAGCAAAAAAAGAAATGTATCAAAGTCACTTTCCTTCACCTGTCTCGATGAACACCAGCGTCTCCTCACAGCCCTCACTCAGCTTACATACCATGCTCCTCATCAGAAGCCATTTCCAGTCATGGAGAGAAACAGCTCTGAAGAGTGAAGATGTTGCTTCGTAGCATAAAAGAGCCGCGGCCCCTAAAGAGAGAATGCCCTTCCAGTCATGGGCCCCTCACATTGCCTTCTCAGCCCCCCAGATGCCAGCCAAGAACTCAGCCTCCACAGATCCTGTCTCCTGAGGAACCCAGATATCCAGCCCTCCTTCCCCTAGTTATGTGAATCCAGCCTCCCACCCTCTGGGGGTCCCAAAGCATCCAGCCCCACAGGACATACAAGGCACAGTAGAGATGGCCCCTAGGAGGCAGAGCAGCTGCACAGGGCTGAAGTGCTGGGGTCCCATGGTCCTGGGTCGGGGTCCTGGATGCTAGAGGTCAATCTGGAACCAAGTTCAATCCAGGTATCAAGCTCAGTTCTCGTCAGTTTTTGAATTCTCTGTTCACCTGCCTCTGGGTCACTGTTTCTAGAGCAGAAAGTTGATTGTCAAGTTCTTGTGACATAGGCTCCCTGAGGCCTTCAGGGACACAAGTCTTCCCATCTCCATAGTGTCCCCTCCAACCTGCCCTGAAGCCACCACATTAGCCTCTCAAGTCATGACTCTCACTCTCCTGCTTAGGTCCTCCCATTGGACATGGTGCTGAGCAGAGCTGACTTAGTCAAAGGATCACTGTTACACAGGCTGTTCTCCAGCCAGAGACGATGAGATCAGAACAACAAGGGGGTGTGTATGGAAGTTAACTGAAATATTACTAAATAACTCTTGGCTCAGAAAAGGATCTTTAAATGTATATAGAAGTGAATAATAATGAACATAGTACATCTCTCACTCTATCTCTCTCACACACACACACACAAGTATATGTAAAATCTGGTGAAAACTAATTAAGGTCCATAGTCCAGTTAAGAGTATTATGCCAATGTCAAGTTCATGCTTGTATACTACAGTTATAGAAGATATCCCTGAGAGGAAGTAGAAGGAAGTATTTATGGCTTTACGACTTTTGCAACTTCTTGTGAGTCAATAACCATTTCAAAACCAAGGTTTTTTTTAACTACACATCAAATTTTGGGACACAACTAAAGCAGTGTTTACAAGTAAATTTATACTTTCAGTACATTTGTCAGGAAATAGGAATGTTAAAAAAACATGGTCCTGGATTAACTCAAGAAGTTGTACAAGGTGCAACAAAGCACCTGCCCCCCCAATAAAGGATAGAAATTAAGATAATGACAGAAATCAATGAATTAGAACAACAAAAATTATTACAGAAAACTTAACATTCATTCTTTGACAATATCAATGAGAAAATTCTCCAGCAAATCTAATCAAGAGAAAAACAGAAGATGCAAATAAAATACCAAATTAAAAATCAGAAGTAACAGACAGTGGCTGGTTTTTTTTTTTTTAATACAAGTATCATTAAGAACTCTACATTTATAAATTTGAAAACCCAAATGAAGTTGGGGAGCCTGGCTGGCTCAGTTGGTACATCATGCTACTCTTGATCTTGGGATTGTGAGTTCGAGCCCCATGTTGGGTATAGAGATGATGTAAAAAAAAAAAAAATCTTTAGAAAACCCAGATGAAGTAGATACATTTCTAAAATAATGTGAAATGCCAAGATTTGCATAAGAAGAGTATATGCAATGCCTTAAGGCAATGAGAATGGCCAATGACCTCTGGCAGAGACAAGAAAAAGAGTAACCCCAGGAGGAAAATGGGCCAAGCATATGAAGAGGTAGTTCTCAGAAGAGCAAACCAGAAAGGCTAGAAAACATGTGAAGAGACACTCAAGCTTGACAATAATCAGAGAAAGGCAGTCTATCAAACTGCCCATCTCTCAGACTAGCAAAGGACCAGAAAGCTGGAAAAAGATACATGTTGGCAGCAATGTGGGATACAGATACTGCTGCTCATGGGGTTGTTGGGAGGGGGACAGGACCCTCTTCTGGACCCTGAGGAACAGCTGAGAGTTCTGGTCAATGTTTCAGGCCCAAAGCAGCATTGCAGGGGGGAATCTGGCAATACTAAGTCAAATTAGGTTTACAAATTCCCATTTCTAGTATATCCTAGGTACACATAATAGAGATTTCCACCTTCACCTACAAAGCAACATATACCAGGATGCAGCATTACTATGGAGATGGTGAGTCGAAGGCAATGTGGGCATTCCTCCCTGAGACTTAGTGAACACACAACATGCAGGGGATGCACACCATGGAATATCATGCAGCAATTTAAAAAACTGATTAGACATACACATAACATGTACATGGATGGATCAAAAAAGCGCAGTGCTGATTATTTTAAATAAATAACACAATATCACTTGCATAACTTAAAACCACATACACAGGGGTGCCTGGGTGGCTCAGTCAGTTAAGCATCCGGCTCTTGATTTCAGCTCAAGTTCTGATCTCAGGGTCATGAGTGCGAGCCCCACCTCGAGCTCTGTGTTTAGCGTGGAATCTGCTTAAGACTCTTTCTTCCTCTCCCTCTGCCCTTCCCCCATGCTCTCCCTCTAAATAAATAAATAAATGAAATCTTTTTGAAAAATAATAAAATAAAACCACATATGCAGGGGTGTCTGGCTGGCTCAGTAGGAAGAGCATGCAACTCTTGATCTCAGGGTCATGAGTTTGAGCCCCATGCTGGGTGTAGAGATTACTTGAATGAATGAATGAACAAACCTTTTTTAAAAACACATGCACATAAGACACTGCACATCTTGCAAGAACACAAGAAACAAAAGATATGCATTAGCCACCTGAAGTGAGCGCCTACAGGAGGATTAGGGAATGAAGATTACTGGGAATACTAACTAAAACAATGTAGGTGGTACAAAAGTTCATAGGTGTTGGACTCAAAGATGGAGCAAAGTTAGAATCCTTACACCTCCACTTACTAGCTGCGCAATCTTGTGTAAGTTGTTGAACTCATTTATAAAATGGATTAATAATACCTCTCATAAGGCCACTGTTGAAAATTAGTAAGCTTATTAATATAAAGTGCCAGGCAAGTGCTAAACTCTCCATAAATGTTGGCTCTCCGGTCTCTCTCTGTCTCTCCACTATCTAAAGGATCAAGGTGAACCTCTTTAGTAGACAGTCAAGCCTTCCACACCCACATCCCCCACCGCCAGATTGGCCCCAAACAACCTGTCCAACTTTGTCTAGTACTGCTCCCCTGCACAGCAGTGCAGCTAGAGGTCACTTCTGCCACCCTTTTCTGTCCAGAATGCCTGGCACACAGGCTCTGTAACTCAGGAGTCTGTAGCAAACAAAGGGGCTGAGACCCACAGAAAAGATGGGACACAGGACAGGGAAATGAAGGCTGACAAAGGATCACACAAAAAGACTGGGCCACTCAGAGTAGATGGCACACACCAGCCTGGAAGGCAAAATGACAGAATCCGAAAGTCTGAAGCACAAGTGGAGACACAAACAGAAAAGAGTGGAATGAAATCTTCGGGGAGGGTTGGGTGGGGGGAGGAGGAAGAGGTGGTCAGAGGGTATGCTACCCCTACAAAAGAGAAACCATGCAGAGGAGGAGCAAACCGATGGACTGGAACGTTGCAGGGAGTCAGAGGACCAGCAGCGGGAGCACAATAGGAGAAGCAGGAAAATGAGGCCTCGGGCGCAAAGACGTGGCTCTTTAGAGGGGGAAAGGAGACAGGGGTGGAAGGCGCAGAGAAAAGGGGACAACAGGAAAGGGTGGGAGGGAAACCGCGAAACACACAGAGAAGGCAGGTGAGGATGACAGAGTGGAGCCCAGATGACACTGATGAATTGAGGTGCAATCCGGGAGGGATGTGCATGCAAAGGGTGGAAAGGGCCAAAGGGACAGAAATACTACAGCGGCGTCTCGGAAAGAAAGTGAAGGGGGGGGGGGGGGGGGGGACAGGGCCAGGCTATTCGGAAATTAGGAACGTGGAGGAATGGGGTCCGAAAATCAGCAGGATGGACAGGCGGACAGAAACTCCCAAGAGAACGGGAAAACCAAAGTTAGGAAAATTAGCACCTAAACAGACAGGAAAAGAGACACGGAAAGGGCGGCGACCCGAGGAGGTGGGATAAGGGAAAGAAATGGGAAAATCACAGGAGGGGAAACGCATAAAAGGAGAAGGGTAGATCCGGAGTTGGGGCAAGGGAGAGAAGTGAAAGAAACACGAGCGTCCACGCAGCGAAGAACCGCCCGAGCGAGGTCGAAGCCAGGAACGCCAGAGGCAGATCCTCGCTGTGCAGGCTAGAGGGCGAGACTGCGCGTGCGCACACAGGTCCCGTTCAACGTCTGGGGGTCCGACTCGGCAGCCGTTTCTGGGGGGCAGGGCCAGTCTCATTCTGGGAGCAGTACTCGACGCCCCATTGGCCATCTCTCCCAAAAGGGGAACTACAATCTGGGCAGGCAAGCCACAGGGGGAGGGGCAAGTGGGGGGGCGAGACTCAACTCGACGCGCTATTGGCTGGCCTGACAGTCTGGCGCGAGGCAAAGCGGGCTGGAGGTAAGGGGACGGCCGTCAGTGCAGGATCTTGAAGCGCATTGGTCGCTTGCTTCGGCGGCGGTAGTCGACGCTTGAAGCTCATTGGCCCTTGTGAGAAGGGGCGGGAAAACCGGCGCGGGGGCGGCCGTTCCTCACGCCACTTCCTCACCGCGTCTTTTCGCGTCCTCCTGACTGAGTCTGACTTTGCTCGCTCGAGGCTGTGGTAACCGCGGGCCGAGGACGCGAACTCGACCCCGCCCCTCCCTGTCCCTTCTCCCTCTCTATGTGGCGCTGGACCCCCTCCCCCGCTTCCCCCTCAAGCTCCTCGCGCCCCTCTCCTCCCCTCCCCCACGCCGCGGGCCCCTGGGTGCGCGCCCTGTGCCCCGCCCCCTCCCTGGGACCCTGGAGCGAGGCAAGGCCGCAGGCCGGGCTACCGAAAGAGGGTGCACGCGAGTAACAGCCGCGCGAGCCGTGGTGCGCTGCGGGGAGGTGGGCTGGGCGATGCATGAGATAGGTTGCTGGGAATGGGCAAAGGTCCCCCGAAGCGCCCGGCGCAGCGACCCCAAAATTTGCGTCAGAGTTTGGAGGGCATATGGGTGCAGGAGGGGAATCTGTGCCATGAGGAGGGGGCCTGCGGCCGAGATCGGGGCCTGGCCTCTGGAAGGGGCTCAGTAAACGTTTGTTGAGTGAATGAAAATAATTCTTGAAAGTGGGGCAAGGAATCCGTGAGAATAAAGTAATCGCGGGGGCGGGGAGAGGCGGCAAGAGAGTGTTCTGATTTCAAAGGGGAGCAAAGGGTACGTTGGCTTGCAGGAGGTACATGACGCTACGAATTGGACGGGGAGCATAAACGTAGTTGTAGGAATTGGATAAATGCATGAGGGAAGGTTGGTGGTTGCTGAAGACGATGGCAGGAAAAACTATCAGAACAGGGTGTTGGGGAAAAAGGGGTGTAGAATCCCTTGGGGGGCCTGTGACTGCACGGGTAGGAGCATGGGACTTGTGCAGGAGAAAGCACAGGCCAGCAGCTGAGAACAATGTTTGGTTCAAAGAACACATAAGAAGGGAAGGAGGAGAGGGGAGCCGGGGAAGAAGGCGAGCCTTCTGGGAAGGAGGACGCCCAAGGAAGGCATTGGGGTGAAGGAGGGAGAAAGCTGGGGAGGGGGGTGAAAGCTGAGTCCACAGATGGGTGCCGTGGAAACCCCTTGAGGTGTGGCTTCCCAGGGACAGGAGGGCTGGTCAGGAGAGGGCCCTTGTGGCCACCCTGACCTTCCACTCCTGCCTCCAGATCCATGGAAGCCAACGAAGTGCCCACTGTCCACCACTGTGCTTCTGATTCTGCCACAGGGGGTGAGACCAGAGCCCCCCCAGGCACTGAGCTTATCCCCAGGAGAGCTGTCAGTCGCTCTCCAACCTGTGCCCGCTGCCGAAACCACGGCGTCACTGCCCACCTCAAGGGCCACAAGCGCCTGTGCCTCTTTCAGGCTTGCGAGTGTCACAAATGTGTCCTCATCTTGTGAGTATGAACGAGATCCAGGGAAGGGAGGAGGATGGGCCTCATCTAAAGCGAGGCTGACTTTTGACCCGCAACCCCCATTTTAGGGAGCGCCGGAGGGTCATGGCTGCCCAGGTGGCCTTGCGTAGGCAACAGGAGGCACAGCTAAAGAGGCATCTGGCTCAGGGACTGATGAGGAGAGGGGAGGCTCCTCCCAAAGCTCCTAGCCATGCCAAGAAGGGAGCCACTCGACCAGGGGTCCCCCGTGAGTGTCTGGCTAGGGATGGGGCAGGGTTTGGGGTGGAGAAAGCATAAGTAGGAAAGAGTCCCAGACCCGCCATTGGAATTGGTGTGTGACCTGGGGCAAAGTGTTTCTACTCTCTGGGCAGCCTCAGTCTCTCCAACTTTAAAATGCAGTCAGGTGTTGGGAGGATGTAGTGAGATCCATGGGTAGAAAAAGGCCACAGGAAGATAAGAACTCACTTTGCAGTTGGAGTGGAATGGGGGTCAGGAGAAAGGGCTCATCAGAGCTCTCTGTGGTCCCTCACAGCTGGAAAGGAGAACATAGCACCCCAGCCTCAGACACCCCATGGGGCAGTCCCACTGGCACTGACACCTCCTGGGAAGGTAAGGAGAACCTGGGCCCTGGGGGAGTGAATCCTATACTAGCCCCTGCCCAGCCCCCTTCCTCTGTGCCCTCAACACTTGGGTTCTACATCTAGTCCTGATTTGCATTATCATCCTGGGCAAATCATCTCTTCTATGGGTAAAAAATGAGAGGGTGGCCATGCCAAGTCTAAAGTTTTGAGGTCCTGCCCCCATCCTAGAACATACTCGTTCTTTCCCCAGCCTCGTTCCTGACTCCAACTTGTGCTCTCTGCCCTTGCAGGATAACTCCCGGGGGCCTCTGCTGCTCAGCCGTCCCCCAGAAGCCTTGCCTTTGTCCTGGACTCCAGTGCCTCCAGGCTCTTGGGCTCCTGGACACTGGCTGCCTCCAGGCTTTTCCATGCCACCTCCTGTGGTATGCCACGTGCTATGCCAAGAACCTACAGTCCCTCTGCATCCCTTTCCTGGTAAGATGAATTCAACACTTTGATTAAACAGGTATTTGAATGCCATTGAACCGCTGTATCAGAAAGAGAAGAGGGGGCGCCTGGGTGGCTCAGATGGTTGGGCGTCTGCCTTCGGCTCGGGTCATGATCCCAGGGTCCTGGGATCGAGTCCCACATCAGGCTCCCCGCTCAGCGGGGAGCCTGCTTCTCCCTCTGACCCTCTCCCCTCTCATGCTGTTTCTCTCTCGCTCACTCTCTAAAAAATGAATAAAATCTTTAAAAAAAAAAAAAGAGAAGAGGAAGAGGATACAGGGTAGGAAGGAAGATGGAAGCCATGACCTTTAACCCCTGTACACTCCTGCATTCTCTTACCCTCATTAGGCTTTGACCCTGGCACTTCCCTCCGGCTGCCCACTCACGGGCCCCTCCCAACCTGCGCAGGATCTCGTCCGATACTGACGGCTCCTCTTTCTGGAGAATCCCAAGGGCCCTCTGCACTGCCCCGCGCGTGAGTAGGGAGGGAAGGATATGTGTCTATAATGTGCCTAATCCCGTCCTGGACACCACAGTAGATGATAGAGAACACAAGGTCTCAGACTAATGCGTGAAGAGAAGCTCTCCTAGCTCTGCCATTGCCTGACTGGGAACCTTTGTACAAGTATCTTTACCTCTCTGAACCTGGTTTTCGTTCAGTAAGTTGGAGATACAATTACCTTCTTTTTGCTTTGTCATGAGAATTAGTGATAATGTACAGAATACATCCTAGCAGAGGCCCTGGTCTTGGACAAATAGTGGCTATTAAATTCTCTTAAACAGATAAAATGGAATCAAATTGCCTGCTGAAAGGGTGGCGTGGGGCATGATGGTGAGAGCCTCAGAGGCCTACGATAGAGGCAAGAGGCCTTTTGAGAAAGCTGCTCCTCAAATTCCATGGGGATTGGGGATCTAGGGGAGGGAAACTAGACTCTAGTAGGGCAGGAACAGCCATCCCAGTCCCTCTTGCTGTTTGATATATTTTTTAAAAATTGACACCAGTGACTCCCCATAATTGTCACAGTAGCTCTGGGGGAAAGAAGCTGGCAGGGATTTTCATTTTATAGCAAACAAAGCAGGCCAAGACAGGGGAAGGGACTTGCCCAAGTCCACAAAGCCTAATGGCCCAGCAGGCATCCAGACTCCCATGTGTGCATGTCTCTCCATGTGTTTAATCCCCTTGGCATCTTCTCTTCTTGCTTCTAGATGCTCTACTCTGATACTCCAGCCCTGTGGCACCCCAGACCCTCTTCTGCTGCAGCCACAGGTCCTGGGAAAGAAGTGGGATCCAGGACCCTGGGAGGAAATTGAGCCTGGGGAAGGGATGATAGGGGGTAGTGAAGTAACCAGGGGCTGAGAGAGTACTTGGAGGGTGGGCAGAGTGGGGATTCCCAGTCTGTTTCTTTCCTTTTCTTTTGCAGGCCCCCGGAGCTTCTCGCCTGGCCTGGACCTCTGCCTCCTCAGAGTGGCAGCTGCAGCGTGAGGCAGCTGAGGCTCTTGTGGATCTGAAAGATTCTTCCCAGGCTCCCCGCCTGACCTCTTCTGTTCCCCCCAACCCTGCCTGGATCTCCCTGCTCCACCCCTGTGGCCCACCAGGTAACCTGTTCCCTGAAAGAAGATGGAATAGGGATGGTTGGAAAATGGAGGTACCAGAGTAAGTAGGGACTAACCAAGATCAGGGTCAGCAGGTTGATCATCTTCAGACCCAGGCTCCAGGCTTCTCAACCTAGTTCCTGGAATTGCAATTGAGAGTTGTTTGGTGAATTAGTTTTATTAATTTTGTGCTCAAAAGCAAATGTCCGGTGCCCTTATGTCAAGGAAAAGGAGGCCCTGAGAGAAGCAGGGACTTGCCCAAGGGCATATGGCAAGACTGGCAGAGCCTGATCTCCTGACTCCAGCCTAAGGCTCCCTCTCTAGACCCAAGCTGCCTGCTGCAGATCTGATAACTGCCTTCAAGGAGCTTCCATTCTACTCGGGAAAACAGAATGTCTTCACAAAGCTCAGTGACAAACCGGGAAAGAACTAGAGGAATCTTGAGGAATGAGACCTATGGGGACAGAGAGGGAAGGCCCGAGGAGTCTCCTGTCCAAGATGACGGATTGGGCATGGTGTGTGGGTGAGGAAACCTGCCTGGAAGAACTGCTGGAACAGAAGGAGATGAGGCTGGAGAGACTTCCGATCATGGAGGTCTGGCGTGCCAAGCTTAGGAGTCCAGACCAACAATTGTGCATGAAAGGGAGCCAGGGAATATTTCTGACCTAGGCAGGGACATATTCAGAGACCCTGAGCTTTAGAAGTCAGGTGTGGTGGCTGTGATGGAGGGATTAAAAGCGACAAGACTGAAGGTGGGAAAATCAGTGAGGGGGAAGTGTTTGCTATAATCCAGGTGAGTAAGGCTGAGGCCTGGATTGGATGGGGTAAAAAGAGGGGGTTGCTGGGAGAGGACAGGGATATGACCTAGTCCTACCCCTTTCTTTCCTGCTTATAGCTCCCGCTGGAGGAAGAGGATTCCAGCCTGTTGGCCCCTCTCTCCGACCCAGCCCAGCCCCCTCTGTGGCTCTGCATATTGGGCGTCTGGGCTCTATCTCCCTCCTAAGCTAGAAGCCCAGAGATGGAGGCCTTGCTGGGGCAAGAAGCAACAGCCTGCGGGCACTGCATATTTGGTATTTTACTTCCGGATTTATGCATGGAATTTAATGTAGTACAAGCTTCCGGCTTTTCTTTTCTTTTCTTTTCTTTTTTCCCTTTTTTAAGCTTTCAGGTGCTTTGTTAGCTTTTGGTTCCTTTTGTAGTGTGGGCATTTCCTTGAATGAAAGTGGTATTCTCTTACTCACTTGGATCCTGGCACCTTTTTAAAATCCCCAACAAAGTGAGAGTTGTGCAGTTTAAGCTAACCAGTATCTAAATAGGTTTTTGCATGAGTTCACGTTCCAGAATATTTATTTGACATATGATCCTGTACATAGCTGTGCACTCATGTCTGTCTCCATGCATGCAAAAACAGGAGAGTATTTTCATTTTGTGTCTACCTTTGGGTGAGTAACTGGGAAATAAACCTTTGTTGTTTTAAGCCACTGAGATTTGGGGATTGTTTGTTGCTGCAGCCTAACCTAGTCTATCCTGACACAAAGGACTTGTTCAATTCACTTTCTGGTAACTACCACAAATAAATACAAACTTGGATTTCTTAGAGCCAAGTAAGAAAGGTTGGTAGAGGAAGATAGTGGGAGATCCACTGATTCAACAGTGAAGTGCCTGCATGCCAGGCCTAGACCGTTCCCAGCTGTCAGAGGGCTACAGATTGAAACACATACAGGGCCAAGCACATCATATAAATGAGTAAAGAAAGCTGGATGAGCCCTAGAAAACTGAGAATGCATGCCGTGCCTAAGGGGACAGCCTCCTTTGCATTAGTGGGCTGTCACCAGGCAGGAAAGTGGCTATTGCCACAACTTCTGATTCTTTTTTTTTTTTTTTTTTAAGTTTTTTTATTTATTTGACAGAGAAAGACACAGCAAGAGAGGGAACACAAGGAGGGGGGAGTGGGAGAGGGAGAAGCAGGCTCCCCGCCGAGCAGGGAGCCCGATGCGGGACTCGATCCAGGGACTCCAGGATCATGACCTGAGCCGAAGGCAGTCGCTTAACCAACTGAGCCACCCAGGCGCCCCTAACTTCTGATTCTTTAAGAGAAGCTGGAAAACTGAATTTCTACGTAGAACATCTTAATTTTCAAATAATAGCTCAGTTTTCTTCTTTAAATCCTATGTGAGCCAAACAAAACATTATCTTCAGGCCAGCATTGGCCAATAGAATGCCAATTTAATGCTAACTTAATGTAACATTTTTCAAATGGGGAAACTGAGGCCAAAGAGAATAGGAAGAATCAAGTTATCAAGGGTTTTTATCAAGGGTATATCAAGGGTTTTTCCTGAACTAGGGAGATTTATGTGTCTAAGTTTTGAAGGACCTACACAAGGTAAGAGACCATTATTATCATTTATTGAGTATCCCACTGTATGTGATTCACATATATCCTCACAGCAACTCTGTAAACCATGCATGCTTACTCCCATTTTACAAATAAATAACAAGTTTAAAGAGATAAAGTGACTTGCCCAACTATTTTAGGGAAAATTTCTAGGCAAATATAGGGGGAAGTTTCCCTCTTCTTGTCAAGTCCCAAATCAATTACTAGGTAATTTTTACAAAACAGAGTGAAAGATTTTGAGCTCCAGGAGACAGGCACGAGCCCAAGGGTTTTTCAAAAAGTCTTTTATTTTTCTACTTAAGGTATCCTTAAGTGATAATCAGATCTTACCTGCATTTGTTTCATAGTCCCCTGCTGTCAAGTCCTCCTTGAACCGTTCCACATATATGAAGGGCAGAGGGAGAGGGAGAAGCAGGCTTGATCCCACAACCCTGGGATCATGACCTGAGCCAAAGGCAGATGTTTAACCCACTGAGCCACCCAGGCACCTCCTCACACCCCTCTTTTTATTCAGGATGATTGCTGGTGATGGCATTCAGTCACAGCTTGTTCCCTGGTGTCTGGGGACTTGAGAAGGTAGGCTGCTTCTACTTCCTAACATTACAGAGTAAAAAATCTGTAACAATTCTCAGGAATCAGCACAAAATAATTAAAGGAGGAAAGTCCTTTTCACACTTTCCTTCCCTCCCCTTGTTATAACTTAGATATGTGAATGCCCCCTAATAGATTTGCCATGCCATGCTCTCCCAAGTGACAGACGACCAAGTCCACATGGTCACGGAGGAGGTTTGCAGCATGAAACATGGCTGAGACCCTGCTACTCAGGGCTGAGCAAAGGTCCCAGTACACCAAGGTCACAGAGCTGGGAAGAGTAAAAGAGAAAGTATAATTTGGGGTTAAAGGATGACATGAGAAGGTGGGGAAAGAGATGACGACTGGGCCAAGGAGCTAGGGGCAGGTTCCAGACCCTTCTCATTTCTTGGCAGCCCACCTCCCCTTCCAGCCAGACCTGCAGGGCTTTTCCTACCATTGGCTAGGCCTGCTTTGTCTATCATTTCCTTAGGGCTTTCCCACTGGTGCCTGGGGGAGAGGGTGGAGGCTCTGCAGAGGTGAGCCTTGGGCAAAAAAGGGCAGATGTAAGAATTGCTCAGGCCCCTATGTCACTGCGTCTTTGGGTGCCGCAACCTTCATCTGTGGTTGTAGGGAGCCAAGTGGGCTCCTGGCCTCTGACCAGCCCTTGGAGATGACAGTCAGTGGACTGTCAGCACTGTTTCATGTGCCAACCCCTTTCCCATTTCCCATTTCCCATGGCAGGGCAAGGAAAGGTGCTGCCTAGGTCCAATAGGTAATGAATAAATCATACCCCTTCTCAGGTTCTTTTGTGTACCATCCTGACCTTCTTCAGAAATAACCCATGAGGTTCCAGATTTGAAGTACCATCCCTCTCTCCAAACAGGATTTCCCCAACCCACCAGTCACCCACTTATAACCTCAGAAGCTCATTTCACATCCTCCCCTTTGGGAATCTATGCTCCCTTCACTTCAGTCCACCTGGTCCACTCCTGACCACACTCCTTGTCCAGTGTAGAACCAGCATCATACCACCCATCCCTAGCCCCATCCAGTTTCTACTCAGACCTTCATTACATGATCCACGTAGGCCTCATTCTGCAACCCCCGTCCCATTGTGTACCTGGCTCTGCGGCCCCTGACACATGTTCTCATAGACACAGTCCTATAAGCCATACCCTGCATAGGCCCTCGTGAGATCCTGAGCTCTTCCCAAACACAAGATTCCCTCTCTGGGGGAATCTGACTTGATGTCTCCCAGAAGCTCCTCAGGCAGAGTTCCCTACATTTCTACATTCACAGGCCTGATCACCCTGAGCAGCCCCTGGCTCTGTGCATCTATGTCTCCCCCTCCAAGAATAAGTAGTCTCAGGGCACAGGGCCTGTGTCCACTTCCTCTCTGGGAACTCAAGAAATAACTAAACATGTTCTGTCTGATTCCTTTGGATTTATTTTTTTCCTACAAAGTTAACACACTCTAATGCTTCCTCTCCCCTCATCACAATATGAACAATTGAGAACTTCCTGTCCTCAAACCATTTTTTAAAACAGAGTTTATATTTTAGAGAAGTTTTTCACAGCAAAATTGAGCAGAATGTAAGTGTTTCCATGGTGTCCCTGCCCCCAAATAAGCACAGCCTCCCTCACTATCAACGTCCCCCACCAGAGTGGTACATTTGTTAAAACTTATCAGTCTGCATTCATGTGTCATTACCACCCAAAGTCCATAGTTTATATTAGGGTTCACTCTTACTTGTACATTTTATGTACAAATGTACAAATTGTACATTTTATGGGTTTGGATAAACATATAATGACATGTATCCACCATTATAGTATCACACAGAATAGTTTTGAGGTTTTTTAAAGATTTTATTTATTTGAGGGGCACCTGGGTGGCTCAGTCGTTAAGCATCTGCCTTCAGCTCGGGTCATGATCCCAGGGTCCTGGGATTGAGCCCCGCATCAGGCTCCCTGCTCGGCGGGAAGCTTGCTTCTTCCTCTCCCAATCCCCCTGCTTGTGTTCCTGCTCTCGCTATGCCTCTGTCAAATAAATAAATAAAGTATTTTAATTAGAAAAAAAGATTTTATTTATTTGACAGAGAGAGAGCACAAGCAGGGGGAGTGGCAGGCAGAGAGAGAAGCAGACTCCTCTCTGAGCCGGGAGCCCAGGGCAGGACTCGATCCCAGGACCCTGAGATCATGACTTGAGCTGAAAGCAGATGCTTAACTGACTGAGTCACCCAGGCACCCATATCACACAGAATAGTTTCACTGTCCTAAGATTTCTCTGTGCTCCACCTATTATTCATCCTTACCCCCACCAACCCCTGGCAACTAATGACCTTTTTACTGTTTCCATAATTTTGCTTTTTTCCCAGAATGTCATATAGTTGGAATCCTACAGTATGCCTTTTCAGATTGCTTTCTTTCACTTAGTAATATGCATCTAAGTTTGCTCTTTGTCTTTTCATGTCCTGATAGTTCCTTTCTTTTTAGCACTAGTATTCTATTATCTAGATGTACCACAACTTCTAATCATTTTTAAATTCTGTCTATAGAATATTGAAAATGGAGAGTCATCAGCTGTGGATTCAAATCCCAACTCAGGCTTTACCCTTACTCGAGCTTAGTCAAGCAGCTTGACTCTCTAAAATTCAGTTGCCTGAAAGTGTTTTGTAACCACCTTACAGAGTTAAGATTATGAACCTATAAAAATTAACACCAAGGACATAGTACTGAGAAACCATGTTATCTAAAATCATAGACTGTCAGAAAGTTTGCTCTTTGAAATCATAGTAATAGTGAGAAGGGGACATCTCACTCTTGCCTGGAATGCCAGTGTCACTTTAACATAGAGAAGCAGGCATGATTTCCAACCCAGGTGCAGAGTTTCAGAGGAGGGATTTCTGGAGATTGCACATTTATCTTAACCCTATAATTTCTGAAGAAACAGGACCCTGTGTCTACTTCTCAGCCCAGGCATGATGTTGACTCTATTACGTAGGATTTGCTTTGCCTTGAGTCCATCAAAGCTCTGCTTAATATAAGTTTTACCTAACCTTCATTCTTCCCTAAAAACTGTATTAACCCCGTGTCTTCCTTTGTTTGGTGAGGCACACTACACAGTTCCTCTGGAGAGTTCTTTTTTTGAAAAAAGAAATATTTAGTAAATTGACTCAAGTGAATTAAACTTAAATATTCAGCACTGATACTAGAAAAGTACATCAAGGGACACCTGGGTGGCTCAGTGGGTTAAGCGTCTGCTCAGGTCATGATCCCAGGGTCCTGGGATTGAGTCCTGCATGGGGCTCCTTGCTCAGCTGGGAGCCTGCTTCTCCCTCTGCCTGCCGCTCCCCCTGCTTGTGCTCTCTCTGACAAATAAATAAATAAAATCTTTTTTAAAACGTACATAAAAAATGTATAAAAAGTGAATATAAATTACCCAAGTATATGGACATTTATAGTTACACATGCATACAACTTACATATTCAAACACACAAGTTGATTTTGGGGGGAAAATCTGAGATACTAAAACTATTTTCAAGTGTGAAATGCGTTTCAACATTCCGCATGAATCTAAATACATGATGTTATCATGCTTAGAAGGATGGTTTATATTCTAGACTGAATGTTTGTGTCACCCCCCAAAATTCCTACACTGAAACCTAATTTCCACTTGTGATGGTATTTGAAGGTGGTGCCTTTGGAAGGGATTAGTGCCCTAATAAAATATTCCCCCAAAGAGCTCACTCACTTACCTTTTTGCCATGTGAGGACATGAACCAGGAAGCTGGCCCTCACCAGACACTAGATCTGCTGGCACTTTGATTTTGGACTTTCCCAGCCTCCAGAACTATGGGAAATAAATTTCTGTTGTTTATAAGCCACTGTCTATGGTATTTTGTTAATAGTAGCCTGAACCAACTAAAATAGTTGGTTTTAATTTTTTAACAGATACTGGTATATCATATTCGCTTGTTAATAACCAAGGCATTTTGCATACACAATATCTCACTGTGGAAAAAATTAATATTATTTGCTCTGATATTTTTCAACTTTGTCTTTTCAACATAATAGCCACACGAATTTAAGTGTCTCCCTTTTGTAGCAAGTTAACAATTTTTTTCAAGATTTTATTTATTCATAAGAGAGAGAGGCAGAGGGAGAAGCAGATCAGAGAGCCCCATGCGGGACTCGATCCCAGGACGCTGGGATCATGACCTAAGCCGAAGGCAGACGCTTAACCATCTGAGCCACGCAGGCGCCCCAAGTTAACAATTTTATTTTATTTTTTTAAAGATTTTTTATTTATTTATTTGAGAGA